TTCCTTTTCCTTTTCCTTTTCCTTTTCCTTTTCCTTTTCCTTTTCCTATTCTTATTCCCAGTTTTGGACTTCAAAATAATACTTCTCTGTGGTTTGACAACGAAGAATAATAATTAGTTTTTGAGCATTTCATGGGGGTTTATTCCGTTTTGGTAGGACTGTTCAGCCTTTCAAACTAGATGCTAATAAGTTCTTCTGGCCCACACGGGACTGAAAAATTGCAGACAGATTGCGCGCAAATCTTTAAAGCAGTGGTAGTTTGTCTTGGGATCAAGCAGCTGATCCTGGAAAAAGATGCAGTTGCTTTAATGAACTGCAGACCCATGAAATACAGACTTCTGTGTGCATGGAAGTTGTTGCCTTTCTTGTCTTGCACACAGATCCATGCCATTTTCCCTCCCCCTGCCCCATTTTTAAGATTAAACCTCATACATTTCAATAAAATAAGAGATTAAATCTCATAGATTTCAGTGGTATTATATGATTAAGAGCAGTTTGAGAGGGCAGCCGATTACCAAGAGGGGTCACAAGGAGGGTCGGGCTGCCCTTTGTCTGGGACGAAAGAATTTGGATTCCAGCCCTGACCAAAAGGTTGGACTTGACAGCCTCAAAAGGCCCCTTCAACTCTAGGATTCTATTGTCTTCTATATTCTTCTACGAAGGTTGATATACCTCTAGTATTATCAATACAATTTGGTAGAAAAAAAATATTTTATACAAATTGAACAATCTGTGGAAGATAACAGGAAGAAAGAGCCAGTTTGGTGTAGTAGTGAAGGTGCTGGCCTAGAAGCCAGGAGGTGGCGAGTTCTAATCCTGCCTTAGACATGGATATAGCTTTGGGCCAGTCACTCACTATCAGCCCAATCCCACCTCATAGGGTTGTCAATAGGGAAGACATATTAAGCATTTTCACTGCCTTGGAGTTATTTACAAAAAAATATAAAGATGGGATAAAAGATTTTTTTTTTTTAAAAAAAGGGCTCCTCTTCCTCCTCCTCCTCCCAGCATGCTATCCATTTTCCATGCTTCAAAGGGATGATGGCTTCCATCCTTCAAACTGAGAGTGTCTTCAGCATGTTTTTTGCAAGGCTGCAGCCTTATCTGGCTCAGACAGATGGAGAGAATATTTTTCGGCTACCCCTTGCAAAAGAATTGAGCATTGGGGCTAACAGCGCCTGGCAGAAGGCCATGTCTTACCTTGGGCGAAACCTGGGTGAAGCTGACAGTTGCTGCCACCATGATGCAGATAATTCCACAGGTCAACAGAATGGAGAGGGTGGCCCCAAATATCCTGGAGGGGTTGTGGGATTCCACTGGAGGGGGCTTTTCCTAAATGGAAGAAAGGGAAAATTAGTCCTCAAAAAAGTGCCTGGATTCCATTGTTGGTTTCACTGATTGAACAGTGAAGCTATCACCCAGTTATTTTTGAACTGTGTGAAATGCATAGCACTGGAATGGAGCAAACTCCTCCAGGGATGTTAATCAGAATTATGTAAGATAATGTAAACTAATATTTAGTGCCATTGCTTGATGTGTAAGTTTTCAAAAGCTATAGATATTTCCAAGAGTTAGAGAAATTTGTCTTGGCCACAGCGTGTAAATAATCTGTAAATTGTACAGTCTTCTTGTAGCCCTAGAAAATGTGGCATCCGACTGACTTATTTTGGTTATCAAATTGATTATATCTAATCTATCTAATCTATATCTATACAACTGCCTGCCTGCCTGCCTGTGTCTGCCTGCCTGCCTGCCTGCCTATCCATCCATCCTTCCCTCCCTCCCTCTCTCTCTTTCTTTCTTTCTTTCATCTATCATCATCATCTATCTATCTATCTATCTATCTATCTATCTATCTATCTATCTATCTATCTATCTATCTATCTATGTTATCTATCTATGTTATCTATCTATGGTATCTATCTATGGTATCTATCTATCTGTCTGTCTGTCTGTCTATCTGTCTATCTATCTATCTATCTATCTATCTATCTATCTATCTATCTATCTATCTATCTATCTATCTATCTATCTTTTATCATCTCTCTATTATTTTATGTATTTTTTTTCTCATGAACACTGAGAGTATATGCACCAAAACAAAATCCTTGTGTGTCCAATTACACTTGGCCAATAAAGAATAAATCTATTCTATTCTATTCTATTCTATTCTATTCTATTCTATTCTATTCTATTCTATTCTAATTCTATTCTGTTCTGTTCTGTTCTGTTCTGTTCTACTCCTATCCTATCCTATCCTATCCTATCCTATCCTATCCTATCCTATCCTATCCTACTCTATTCTTATTCTATTCTATTCTATTCTATTCTATTCTGTTCTACTCCTATCCTATCCTATCCTATCCTATCCTACTCTACTCTATTCTTATTCTATTCTATTTATCTACGTATCTCATCTCTCTCTCTCTCCATTTATATATCTCTATCTCAATATACATGTACACAAACACACACACAAAGAATGTACAAACTTACAGCAAAGAAGAAACGTAATTACCTGAGCATCTTTTCCGAGAAAGGATTAATGTGGGACTTGCTCTCAGACTAGAGCTCTCATCTAATGGCACCTACAACACAAAGCTCTACCTTCAGCCTCTCCAAATGGGTCCTTCCAGAGGTGAAGGGCCAGCCAGACTAAGACATCTGGTTGTGGGAACCCTGAGGAGATTAATTCCTTATGGGACATGGTAGCTAGCAGGTGCCTCCAAGGTGGTTCTCTATGTGGGGAAAGGAGATTCGAAAGCAGGCTGCTGAGTTTTCAACCTGTGGAGTAGCGCTGGACCCAGGAGTGATGGAGGGGCTTCACTTAAGCAGCATCTTTTCTCTTCGCCAGGGCAACATGGAGGGAGCCCAGGGCATCCAGCGGCTCTAAGCCATTTGGGGGCACAAGACTCGACCCCTTCCTCGCAAGCAGGGAGTCCGGGCTGCGGCCCTCCCTGGGCAAACCTGGTGGGGAGGGAAGGCTACTTACTGCATGGAGAGTGGTGTGGGCCACGGCCTGCTCCTCCATCCCAGATCTCCCTTTCCTTGAAGTGAGTCGAGGCTTTGCGATTCCAAAGCTCCCCGTTAGAAACTCAAGAAGGTGTCCGGGAGAGCCAGGTGAGCCGTGCCCCCGGATTCCCAGCCTGGGCAGAGGCATGTGGAGGTGAAACTCAGACTACCTAGTGGGTGGAGGGAAGGGGGGCTGCAGAGAGATGCTGGCCGGGCCCCAGTGAGGCTTGCCCTGCCCTGCCCGGAGAGACAGCCAAGGCATTCATGGGAGCACAATCGAGGGCTTTGTGTCAGGGCCCTTGCACGCTGGCAGATGTTCCAGGGCTCCGCAGCCTTTTCTTGGAGGAAGGAACCTGGCTGGGGGAGAGCAGCTGTCTGCCCCCAGGCCCTGAGAGCAAAGGTTGGGGGTGGCGGGTGGCGAATGCCCTGCTTGCCCACCAGCTCCAGCGTTTCATCTTCCGCTGCCTCTAGAGAGATGCTCTTTGCTCCCCTCATTTTCACTTGCTTATTTCCACACACGAGGAAAGGAGGTGGAAACTGACCAAGGAGAGAAGCAACTTAGATTAGAACTAAGGAGAAATTTCCTGACAGTTGGAACAATTAACCAGTGGAACAACCTGCCTCCAGAAGTTGTGGATGCTCCAACACGGGAAGTTTTTAAGAAGATGTTGGACAAACTTTTGTCTGAAGTGGTGTAGGGTTTCTTGCCTAGGCAGGGGGTTGGACTAGAAGACCTCCAAGGTCCCTTCCAACTGTTCTGTTCTGTTCTGTTCTGTTCTGCTCTATTCTATATTCTATTCTATTCTGTTCTGTTCTATTCTAATTTTGGAACTTCAGGGACAAGAAGCCATCAGATAAGAAAACAGTTTTCTCCCACAACTTTGTTTTGATAGAGCCCATTTTCTGTATTTGATTATTAGTTTCAAATGGCTTTTTGATTAGCTTACGGTTTGTTTTTTCTGAAAACTCAGAAACTGGGTGAATTCATAGACCAAATTGAGAATGTTGCGTGAATGCCATCAATATGTCACAAAAACATGTCGGTTGTGAAATACAGTTGCTTCCTTTGGTTTCCCCTACTCTTCCTCTTCCTCCCTCCCCAGCCCTCTCTTTCTATCTCCTTCAAGGTTGCAAGGCCCTTGTGGGAGGAAAGTTCTAGACTTCCTGTTTTGAGAAAGTAGAGAACATCTGCACCTTTGAGTATGCAAATTTCCTTTGCAAACGTGAAAAGGAGCTTTGATTCCTGTTTCGTCCATGGCACAAAAAGCAACTATCAGGACAGCAATGTGGAAGGGGGCTTGCCTTGTTTTAAGATTATTTTGATTTTGATTTCCCAACCTAGCTCACAACTTTGCTGTTTGATCTGCACCTACTAAAGGATTTCAAGATTGGCCACAGGTCAGCTCCAGGTGGCCACACTCTTCTCACCTGGAGTTGAAAAGAGCGTGATGCAAACCCAAAGCTCACCATGTCCCCCATTGTGCAGAAAACTCTCCGTTTGCAATCTGCACGGACACTAAGTAAGCAGGACTGGACAGCTCTCCATATTCCTGGATGTCCTTAACAGATTAACAGAGTTGGAAGGGACCTTGAGGGTCATCTAGTCCAACCCCCCCCCCCCAAAAAAGCAGGAGACCCTACACCATTTCTGACAGATGGCAGTCCAGTCTCTTCTTGAAAGCCTCAAGTGATGAAGCTCCCACAACTTCCGAAGGAAACTTCTGTTCCATTCGGTTGATTGTTCTGTGAGGAAATTCCTCCTTATTTCTAGGTTGAATCTCTCCTTGTTCAGTTTCCATCCATTATTCCTTGTCTGGCCTTCAGGTGCCTTGGAAAATAGCTTGACCCCTTCCTCCTCTCTGTGGCAGCCCCTCGAATATTGGAAGACTGCTATCCTGTCTCCGCTGGTCCTTCTCTTTACTAGACTAGCCAGGCCCTGCAACCGTCCATCGTATGTTTGAGCCTCCAATCCCCTCATCATCCTGGTTGCTCTTCTCTGCACTCTTTCTAGAGCCTCAACATCTTTTTTATAGTGTGGTGACCAAAACTGGATGCAGTACTCTAGGTGTGATCTTACTAAGGCTTTTATAGAGTAGTATTAGTGCCTCCCTTGACTGTATCCCTCTGTTAATGCAACTTAGGATTGCATTGGCTTTTTTGGCTGCCTGGAAAGTCATTTACTGATATAGAAAATTGATATTTTTTAATAGAGTGATGACCAAAACTGGATGCAGTAGTCTAGGTGTGGCCTTGCTAAGGCTTTATAGAGTCCTGCTAGAGGACTGAAGAGAGATTCCAGAGCAAGGCTGCTCTGAGATCTGGGCCACGCGGGCCTGTCATCATTTGTCATCCTTCTGTGGCACACCTGCCCTCTTCTCTGGCCAAGCAATCATACCTGGCAAGAGATCACACCAGCCTCCCTCCTCCTTCTGAGACCCTCTGATAACAAGAGGTGGGATGGAGGAGATGAAATGCTTTTATACCAAGCCTTCTCATTCCCCACCTTCAAACAAGCGTATTTGTGCACAGCACAGCTCGACCTTAAAACTGGGCACCGTTCCCACAACCCTCCCTCTATTATGGCTGAAAAGCTGAGCTCTGCGGTCCCTCTAGTTTGCTAGTAAACTGGGTATGTCTAGTCTAAGGAGGAGAAGCACTAGGGCTGAGATAGTGAGCTTTGGGTTTGCAACTATGGATCAAGCCGGTCCTTTTGTGGGTACAAACCTGTCTGGCCACAAAGTTCCTTTGCTGATAAAGACACCAGTGCAACCCTTTGCTTTATAATCTTGTTTTCCCAAATTCCCCGCTTCAAACAAATCTATTTGGCTTCTGGAACTGCTTCTTAGTTCCTTTGGGGAGTAGGTGGGGCACAACTGGGGTTCATGACTACTGAACGTGCCTTTTTACTCAGTGACCATATGCCGGTTGGGAAGGGCATTTTTTGGGAAGGGACCTGGGGTGTAAATTGGATGCTAGCATGTATTGGGTTTCAGATAGAATTCATTTGGAATTGGCTGATGGAGGGGGAGATGAGAAGATCCCTTTGATCTAGACTTCTTATTGTGGGTTGCAAGGAGTGTTCTAACTCCAGTAAAATACAGATCTCTTCCAGATCCAGAGCCATTTATGTCCCTATGGAAAATCTGGACTTGATTCTTCTCCTCTGGAGGCCCCCGTCTCCAAGGCAGGAGAAAGGTGTGCCAGATATTCTGCTTATTCTTTTCGTGCCGTTTTGGAATCTTCCTTCTTGCCAGAAGTCTGTCCTGCTGCAGCAGCAATTGAACTTGTTGGACTCATCAGAGCCTGCGACCAAACACTATTTTTACTGTATCGACTCACAAACACCCTCATGGAGGAGTTTGCAATTCATTTGATGTTCCTTGGGGGAGGAGAAAATTCCCAACTTCAACTTCCATTTTCCACATTTCTTTTATTCATGCTGTTAATTATTGCAAGCTTTTGTTAAAGCCTTCCTAGAACAGTCCTTTGGAGTAAGGCACGTAAACAGTTGTTGGGAGATGTTAAGGGAAGAAAGACCCCATATGCTGAGAAGCACAATAATCCTGGATGCAGTTCAACAAATTACGACTTGACTCAAACCTTGCTTCCTTTGGGGGATGGGTTACATGGAAAACTATGGTCTCACAGGAGACGGATGGGCCGAGATAATTTATAACAAGCCAAGTTGAGCCCTTGAGAATTCTCACCATCATCTTTCAACCATTCTACACCTTGTCCATCAACTTCCTTACCCCACTGCCTGATGAAAAAGCCAGGTCATCACCGTTTTTCTGAAGGCCAACAGGGAGAAGGGCTGGTATCTGGGGAGGGACAGGGGGGGGGGGGAGAGCTGTGCTGAAAGATAGGCACCATAAGAGACCCAGCCTCTACCAGGTGACCATACATAAAGAGGAGCTAGAACATACCAACCCTGGCCAGATCTAGCAGGATGGGCAGAAATTATGTGGAAAGGTGATCTCAAAATTACCTTGGCCCCATCCCTTTAGACTATAGGGCTTTAGCTCTGGGTCTCCAACCTTGGCTACTTTAAGTCTTGTGGACTTCAACTCCTAGAGTTCCTCAGCCAGCCTGGGGAATTCTGGGAGTTGAAGTCCACAAGTCTTAAAGTGGCCAAGGTTGGAGACCCCTGCTTTAGACTATAAAAATGACCACCTGAATTTTGAACTGCATATGGACCACACACAGTGGGGGCTTCCTGGGCAAAGGATCAAGTCTTTAGGGCCTTATGAAAGGCCAGCAGTACCAGGGTACACTTAACTTCTGGAAGGAGAATGTTCCATATGGTTCACATTGAGTGCCTTGCTGTGTTGTAACCAATCAAATAGAAGCAGTAAAATGCCTATCTTTGTAACCAGGTTCCAGGTTTCCCTGTTCCAGGTTTTGCCTAATGGTTTCTCCTTACCCAACCTATCAATAAATCAATATATGTAGGGGTGCCTTGGGGGTCTCATTTAAAATACTCCTAAGGGAAAAAAAAGTTTTCCTTTAGTGTAAAATGAAAAGATGAGACACACAAAAAGGAAGCAAACGTTATGTTTAATGTGACTCAAGGTCTGGACTGAAGTTAGATAGCAGTTTTACAGTGCCCACTTGAGAATTTGACAGTGCAGCTTGTTAAGAAAAGATACAATGAAAGCAGATGGCCGGTTCCACTTTGTGGCCAGCTTGTTTGAGCAACTGCTCTGACCATCTAAGCATTTAATGTAGATTTGACATGGTCCTGAATCTCTCTGGAACTGTCTCAGAACAAGTCCTCCCAAGAGATCCATTTTCTTTTCTTTTTATTGGTTCACAGAGTTTACATAATCAAAAGAGAACAATTTTTTAGACTTACAAATAAAAAGCTGATAAACTTAAAAGAAAAAAAGAGAAAAATTATTTGAAGACGTAATCATCTATCTTTTAGCACTTCGAAAGCGGTGGAGAGATTAATGTAATTTATAATCACAGAATGTATATCTATAATCACTATAGATAATGCAATTATTGCTGTATGAAAAAGTGAGAAATTTCAAGCACCTTCAATATTGAAAATGCTGCCCATGCAAGATAACTGAAATACATTTGAAGCAAAAAAAGAAGTATCTTTCCTTGGTTCCCATTTTTTTAAAGTCTTTGTCTACATACTTTTTAAAGGTGACAATCTGGCAACTGATTCTGCAAGAAAACTACCTGAGCACCTGAAAAGTGCAATCATGTTTACTGCAGACCGACAAGGCAAAAATGGTTCATACATCTGTTTTCAGCAAGTGCCAAGAAAGATCTGCAAAAGATTTTTCTTGTGTCCTATCAACAACTCAGAAGATTCCAATAGGAAGCACTAAATATGTTAATATAGTTGCTTCATCAACACTGACTTCAAAATGGCTTTAAGAAAAAAAAAACCTGCATGTATTTAAGATACTGAAGAACAAAATGCTAGTAAATTCACTGTTGCCATGAAGAATTCCTACTATCAACTGACTGACAAATGAACTCAGCATTCTATCCTGACATTTAGTCAAGTAATTCAAATACGATTCAATCTGATTTCTGAATGATGGACTTTTGTTACATGTTTGACCAATAAAACCAATTTGCAATATGCTGTTAAAATAGGTACCATAATCAGAAATTCTAAAGAATGTCTAGAGAAACATATGAAGCCTGATGGTGTATTTCTTGTTTTGCATATAAAGCAGTGCAAATGCCACTGGGCAGGAGCAAAAACATTACGAATGGATACACAATGATTTCCATTCCCCTGAAATATCTGACCCAGAACCCAAGTAATCATAAAAACCAATCTTAAAATCTAGTCTCAGATACCAGAGCAGCTGCCCTTAAAACTGCTCAATTCCCTGAATTTCCAAAGATTGCATTACAAAACACCACAGTGCAAGGTTTAAACAGAAGCCTGCTCAGTCCTTCAGCTCAGCTGAACAGGCCTCCACCCTGATACCTGAACACCAGCCAGACACAGCTTGATGTGTCTGAAAGCTGATAGACACACACACACACTTCCCTCTTTCTTTCAAAGTGCATTTTTAAAAACAGGAATTTGTAAACAGAGAACTCAATTTGAATGTTGTGCACGAAAATCATCTTACTTTTGCAAGCAGCAATTGTGTGCACCGCAGTAACTGAGAAAATACTACCAGCCTGAAGAGACTGCAGGTGCCTTGGGGGTGAAGAAAGACCTCTGCAGAGCATCTCCCTTCCTTAATCGGTGAGAGCAGGGAGGAGGTCCCCTATGCTATCCACGTAATAATCAGGGACCAGGTTTCTGCGTTCAGGACAGCCGCTGTTGAGGTGGCCCTTAACCTCATCCAGGGTCGTGACCCCGGTGAGAGTGAGGAGGGTGGTCAAGCCGCAGGTGTTGCCCATGAGGATGTCTGTGTCCAGGCGGTCACCAACCATGATTGTGCGCGCAGGGTCAATCTTAAACTCGCTGGCCACACACTCAAACATGAAGCGGCTGGGCTTGCCCACAATGAAGGCTTCCCGCTCTGCAGCTGTCTCCACTGCCTTGACAAGGCAGCCCGTCCCTAAAGGAAGAAAGACCAAAAAGAGAAAAAAAATGAAGAAATCAGCAAGCAAAGGGGGTGGGGTGGGGGGTTGGGCAGATGCAGTAGCGAGGAACTGGTGCAAACCAGAGCAGGTCATATGTCTTTACTTTGCTCTAGGAAAAAATAAAACCCTATATGGCTGAAGTTGGGGATGTCCTGCCCCTTCGGGCCTGAAGTTGACACAACTTTTGCCTGCCTTGCCTTCGCTCAAACTTTTGTTGTGCTGGATTTCATGGCCACCATGCCATCCCAGAAGAAATGCCACTTCTTAATGGAGGGACTGTAGAAGTGGTGTGCTTGCAGCTATGCCTGTTCCAAAAGCCTTTTTCAGCTTCGGATCCAAAGTCAGCACATTCCCAGATCCAGGGAGTGATGGCAACACTAGAAGGAAATGCATGTATGCAGTGGTGGGATTCAAATAATTTTAACAACCGGTTCTCTGCCCTAATGATTTCTTCCAACAACCAGTTCACCAAACTGCTCAGAAAGTTAATAACTGGTTCTCCTGAAGTGGTGTGAACTGGCTGAATCCCACCACTGCATGGATGCCACAATTATCATTCCAAACATCAGCTGAGCAATGAAAAACCACGATGCAATGGATGAACAGGCTTCAGGACCACAGAATTTAAGTTTCTGTGGACAGAACCCTATTTCTGTTATGTGATAAGTATTATTATCCCAGGGAAAAAAAGAACATGTATACACAAAATGGGAAATTTTGTTTTTGAGCCTGAAATAAACAAATTGCATTTGGCAGGTCCTGGGTGGACTATCATCTAGTTGAACCAAGGACATATTTATTCTGGGTAAAACAAAATCTAAGTGGTCTTATGTAGGTGAAGGCCTCTCTCTCCTCTCCTACTCCATGTGCCACCCAAGACACATCCATGTGCCGTTCCCTGCTTTTCCTTAGGCATTGCCAATGTTTCAAGCACAGAATACTTAATATTCTCACGTGCACATCACTCTCTCCATCTTCTTAGCCATGCATGGAATGTTTTGTAACAACACAAACGGTGGAACTGGGATAGGATAGCTTGTTAAATGCCCGATTAGACCCAAAGTCTGTTCTAAATGGTATTTACTTATATTTGAACATCACGAATACTGGATGGAACAGCAGGATATAAACCAATTAAAGAATAATAAATGATTATTACTCTACACGTGGCTTTAATCCAGGACCTGTGAATGGGGCTTTATTGCTGGGGGAGGGGGCTGTATGCAGCTTCTACTAACACAATTCCAAGAAAGAAAGTCTATTCCCAGTATAATTAGTATAAGGTTGTTTAAGGATTGTTATGCCTTTCCCTCTTAGGATTAAACTGAAAGAGGTTTAGCGTATAAGTCACTGGATCAAGCTAAGAATTTACTAGTGGGAAGGCAAGAGATGTGAGCAGAGCCTCGGAGCCTTAGCTGAGCCAAAGAGGCTTCTGAGTGGCCCAAGTACAGGTAGTCCTCGACTTACAACAGTTCACTTAGTGACTTAGTGACACTTAGTTCAAAGTTACACCGGCACTGGAAAAAAAAGTGACTTAGGACAGTCTTTCACACTTACAACCATTGCAACATCCCCACGGTCACCTGATCAAATTTCGGATGCTTGGCAATTGACTCACACATATGACCGTTGGCCGTGGTCACCCTTTGCAACCTCCTGAGAAGCAACGGGAGAAGCCAGATTCACTTTAACACCATCAGGGTTGCTAGTTTTCTGTTAATGCAGAGGTCTCCAACCTTGGCAACTTTAAGACTTGTGGACTTCAACTCCCAGAATTCCCAGAATTCCTCAGCTAGCTTTGCTCAGCCAGCTTTCAATTCTGGGAGTTGAAGTCTGTATACAAGTCTTAAAGTTGCCAAGGTTGGAGACCTCTGCTCTAAACATGTGGAATATCAGATTAAGAGCCATGCAGATTAAATGCTAAGGCAAAGAAAGAAACACTCCAGTCTTCCAAGGGCTCTGATTTGGCCTGTGACAGCAACAGCCCTGTGGACGGATGCAGGAGAAGAGGGAACTCCCCCACACCTAATTTTAAGCTCTGGGTTGATCGGGAGAGGATACTACACAATTACTGCTGCCTGGGTATGAATGACCAGGACCAAAATGAAGAATTGGCTTCAAAGTTTGAGAAAACTGCTTAGTTCAAGCAGACAACTACATATTTAGCTCAAACATAAACCCGGTATCTGGCTGTGCAGCAACTAGATTTAAAACTGCTCCTAGCAGTAAGTTTTTTTGCACCAATAGAAGCTAGCAAAACTGCATCTGGATATTAACGCAGGGATCTTAAAACTCATCTGGAGAAGTTAGTACGCAAAGGGCAAAAGCCAGAAATAGGGATTTCAACGGGAACAAACACAAAGTCCCAAAATTTGATAGTTGGCTTCAAGGACACCAAAAAGGAGAAAGGTCTGGGATCTTGGTGGATAAATATGAACTTACAAAGTGATATAACCACAAAGAAAATTAGAAGATTAGCTGAAAAAAGAAAAAAGAAGATTAGCTGAATCAACAGAAAGACTGGCTGGAGAATTCTGGGAGTTGAAGTCCACAAGTCTCAAAGTTGCCCAGTTTGGGGACCCCGGTGTTAATGGTTCACTGTGGCAAGGAAAGTCGTAAAACGGGTCAAAGTGTCACTGCACCAGTGCCTCGCTTAGCAACATAAACCGTGGTCCTAAGTCGAGGACTGCCTGCACGAGTTGCTCAGAACTCCACCGCCCCGGCTTTACTTGACCCCCCCCTCTTTTCTGGCTACTGGCGGGTTGCAAAGGGGCTCCGTCCCCCGCGGCCGCCACGTACCGGGCACGGCGCTGCCGCCCTCGAGCGGGAGGCGGTTGTCGCGGTTGGTGCCGACCAGCAGGCAGCCGCGCCCGTCGCCGTCGCCCCGCAGCAGGTAGCGCAGCGCCAGGCAGAGCTTGCCGTAGGCGAAGTGCTCGTCGTAGCCCACCAGCACGGCGCGCACCGAGGGGTCCAGCGGGGCGCGCGCGCCGAAGTGGGCGGAGCCCGGCTCGGGGGCGGGGCCGACGCCCAGGTGGGCCACGCCCAGCGCCTCCAGCTCCGCGCTCAGCGCCGGCCCGCCCAGCACGTAGGCGGCGGCGCCCGGCGGGAGCGCGCGGCTGAGGTGCCGCGCGGCGCAGTAGGCGGAGCCGAAGACCTGGCCGGGCTCCGCGGGCGGGAAGCCCAGGCGCCGCAGCTTCTCGGTGTAGGCCTGGCGCGTCCGTGAGGAGTTGTTGGTCACGTAGCAGAGCCGCTTCGCGCCGCGCGCTTCCAGGCGGTGCAGCGTCTCGGCCGCGCCAGGCAGTGCCGCCTCGCCCCGCCACAGCACGCCGTCGCAGTCGAAGAGCATCGCCTCCGTCTGGGACAGCAGCTGCCGGGCCAGCGCCGCGTCCAGCCGCCGGCACTCCTTGGCCGCCATCGTGGGACGGCGGATGAGAGGACGGGCGCCGTGCCTCAACGCCTCACGAGCTCCCGCCGGGTTGATTGGCTGGGAGGCGGGACAGGGCCGCCTCTTGCTCTGCTGGCGAAACCTCCGGAAACCGGACCCGGCGCCGCTGATTGGCTGCCCGGGGAGAAAATGCGCGCCGGTTGGCCGAGCCGTTGGCTGTAACGCCGTGCAGGCCCCGCCCTCGCAGGTGAGCCGTCCTCGTCTTCCCGTTGGCTGAGCGCCTGCCCGGCCGCGCCTGCCCGCTGGGACTGCGACGAGGCTCGAGTGAGCCCGCTTCCCCGCAGCGCCGGCCCGTTGTTATGACGACACGGCCGTAAAGCCGCCATCTTGGTGGTTGCGGCGCCTTGCGACATGGAAGCCGCGATGGCAACGGGCGCTGGGCCGGCGGGGCTTACGGCAGCTGGGCCACGGGGACGCGAGGGCGCTGCTGAGGCGACGGCGGCGGGCGGCCTCCCTCAGTCTCCCGCCGCCGCCACCTTCCTCAGCCTCCCGACGCCTTTCGAGGAAGAAGGTACTGCCGGCCGGAGGAAGGCGGGGGAGGCGCCGCTCAGTGACGGTGTTTCAGGGCCTTCCGGGAGAAGCGGCGCCTCGTCTTCGCCGCGGGGACGGGCCTGTCTTCTGAGGGGCGAAAGGCGCCGCGGCGGCGGCTCCCATCCACGTCATGGGGCCGGATCGAAGCGGCGGCGGCTCAATTCTATACGGAACCTTCCGGGGGGGTGTGTGTCGTCGGTCTGGCGGCGAGGCGCAGCCCCGGTCGGTTCCTCGAGCTGCGAAGAGTTGCTCTCTGCGGCGGCCTACCTCGCAGGGGTGTTGTGGGGGCGGAAGGAGAGAGCGCAGGCAGATGGGCCAAGGGGCAAGCAGGGAATAGGGGACGGCGCCGCTTCCCCGGGGTGGCGTAGCCCCGAGAAAAGAGCCTTCCAGGGTAGGTAGGGGGTGCCTGGCCCTTTCTGCTGAGGGCCTCCCTGCTTTTGAGCATGGATTTCTCCCCCCCACCCCCAACCGGGCTGGTGCAGGTGCCAGGAAGCTAACAGTGACAGGGTTGGAGGGTCCTTGGAGGTCATCTAGTCCAACCCCCTGCTCTGGCAGGAGAACTCTACTGTTTCTGATTAGATGGCTGTCCAATAGGAGGAGATGCTCTTCCGACTCTTTCTGGGGCTGTATAGGGGTGGCTGGCAAGGGAGCCTTTCTCAGGCACCCCTTTTGGGAGACTGAATCCCAGCCTGGCCTGAGCTTGTTTCTGATTGTTTAGGCCGGATCTTGAAAAGATGCTCTTTCAGAGGCATTAGCTCCACGGTTTGCTTTGGAATAATTGACAGTTGTTTAAGCTGTTGCTACTCTTTTATTATCCCAAGCTTGTAAAGGTCCAAACAAATACAGTTGCTGTGATTGGTTATTTGGGAATCTCCTTTTCACGCTGTCTTAAAAAGTGTGACAGGGTCCTTATTTTCTTGCCTTCTAGATGAAGATGATAGGCACAAATGTGGTCGCTGCCAGTCCGAGTTCACTTCTTTGGAAGAATTTGTGCAGCACAAGCTGCAGAAGATTTGCCAGAGACCTCAGGATGCAACCGCAGCAGCAACCCAGGCAAGTTTTCTGGAGGCAGCATCTAAGCTTGCAGGACATGTGATCTCTCTGGGGACCAGGCTGGGGGTGGGTGGGTTTGCAAGCTGGATAAATTGTAGCTTTTGTAGGCTCAGATGGGTAATGGTTGCAAAATGCATCACCTCATCCTTAGAAGAAACATTAGCATAAGACATGGGAGATGCTTTTACCACTTCCAGCATTGTAAATTTTATATTAAAAATATATTTTGGAACATCCCTACCACAAGAGGTATTTTCATATTAAAGCTCCATTTGTTCCATCAGGTGATTTCGCCAGTTGAAGCAGCTATAACTGTAGCTCATATAGTTGTTGAAGCAGCTCCAATAACAGAAGAAATCGGCCATGTACCTGAAATTGTAGGTAGGTCTACCAGCCACTTAAAAGTTATTTTAGGCAATCAGTAAGCCTGCTGCAAGAGTTTAAGGGGGAGGAGTGTAACGGAGGAAGAGTGAGTGCTTTTCATGCAAAAGATCCCAGATTCAGTTCCTGGCATTTAGGAAGGAATCCTCTTGAAATGTTGCTGCTGTCAATCAATGCTGGCAGTGATGGATTAAAAGATAAATGGTATGGTGCCATGTGCAGCAATTTGTTGTGACTTGGTAATTTTCCATTATTTTGAATAAACGTAACCGTCAAAAGTCAGGTCCTCTGAAGGTTAGATAAAAACATGCTCTTCACACAAAGTGCAGTGAAAAGGAAAATGTCATGCTACGAATTATTAAGATAAATAATATCTTAAAGTTGTTCTGTAAATCTATGTTGGTCTAAGGTTATTGGGAACTGGGGAAAACCCAGGAGAGAGAAAACAAAAATTATTTTTTCCTGAAGAAAAATAAAGATTTAAAGCTTTTTTAATTTAGAAAAGATATGACAGAACATTCTTAGACCACTTTATGTTTAAAGTGGAATGAATGGGTAGGAGTCATCCAGGTCCTTTTCTCCTGCTGAAACTTGAGCATCGAAGTGCAAGTGGTTGCTGGAATAGAACAATGGTTGCTTTTCAGAACAATGTCTGATTGTTAGATGAGATGAGATGAAATGTATTGGTAGATTCACAGAATGTTATTTGTCTACTGATTTTGATGTGATCCAGAGTAAATTCATATGAACATTGCATGGAAGTGCTTTCTCTACTGACAACCCTTCGTGTTCTGCCAAGGCCTACAGAGGGATTTTCTTCAGTCTGAATGGCAGAAACTCCATCATGGGGGGAGGGGGTGTTTGTCCAATATGGCCACCCAAAAAGTAGCAATAGCTGGTTATGGAACATGATATTCTCTAAAGAATCTAACTGGCTTTGGGCCTCTTTGCAGGTAGTGGGCAAATCAAGGAGGTTGTTGTAGGTGAAGATCATGTCTTTGAAAGCCCCAATGGCCACAGTGATGAAGATGGTGGAATTACTCAGAATAATCCAGAAGGCCCAGGGGAAGGTGCTTCTCTGGAACTTATCAAAGTTAAACTGCTGGTTAATAAGGAAGGTCGTTACGTCTGTGAATTATGCCACAAGACATTTAAGACGGTATGTTAAGGATTTTAGCAATGCTCATGGTACTGTTAGATAAATGATAAATAAGATGATGCTATTGAGATACAACAGTTCTTGCCTCTGGGTAAGAAAAGGCAACAGCGTTATAGTTTGAAGTGTCGTGTTCTTAAAACTAGCCCCATGTCTGGCAGCACCATAAACCTTTGTGTCCTTTGGTTCTAGGCCAGCATTCTCAAGGCTCACATGATCACTCACAGCAGCAGGAAGGACTACGAGTGTAAGTTATGTGGGACATCTTTCAGGACCAAGGGCTCGCTGATCCGACATCATCGTCGTCACACAGGTAAAGAGAGGACTTGGTTATTGAGCAACGTTCAACAGTAGGACTAAAAAGAGCACAGGGGAAGACATTGGGGGTTAAATGGTATTTAAACAGCTAGGATGAGGGATTTGCATAAAAGGATTCCGGGATTAATTCCTGATGCTTAAGCATTACCTTGTCCTCCATGCTCCTACTGTTGAAAAGCTATATATAGGTCTCCCAGCAAATTTACCCTTTTCTGAACGGTTGGCAGCAGAAACTTCACCTAAGAGACAGTGGAGCCATGTTTTTCTACAAAGTAACTTTCCTTTGGTTTCTCCAGATGAGCGTCCTTACAAGTGCAAGAAATGTGGGAAAAGCTTCCGGGAATCAGGAGCCTTGACTCGACATTTGAAATCCCTAACGCCATGCACTGAGAAAATCCGTTTCAATATGAACAAAGAAATAGTTGTTAGCAAAGAGGACGTAGCCTCAGGTCAGTGAAAAGGCCTCCCCTGCTCTTATCCATATGGCTCTGCCTTGCCTTTCGGGGGGTGGAGGGGGGGTGGAATAGAATTGATACAATTTGGCATCAGATGTGAGGATGGGCCCAGAATATTGATGCAGTAATAATTTACATCGAGGGTCTTCAAACTTGGCAAGTTTAAGACTTGTGGACTTCAACTCCCAGAATTCCTGAGCTAACATGACTGGAGAAAAGGAATTCAGGGAGTTGAAGTCCACACATCTTAAAGCTGTCAAGTTTGAAACCCCCCGATTTACAGGAATTATTTATGAATTATGATTCAGTGGAATATCACTAAACGAGGAAACATTAATTCACAAAAGAAAGGAAGGAAAAAAACGGCCCAATTAGTATAATGCAGGGGTCCCCAAACTTGGCAACTTTAAGTCTTGTGGACTTCAACTCCCAGAATTCTCCAGCCAGTATAGCTGGCTGAGGAGTCCTAGGAGTTGAAGTCCACAAGTCTCAAGTTGCCAAGTTTGGAGACCTCTGGTATAATACCTGATAGAAAAGGCCTGTTTTATTCAGAATGAAAGGAGGAGTTAGGAAATTGTGATTTGGACATCTATACAGAGGAAGTGAACCCTGGGACAACACAGTGGTAAGACACTGATGAAACAGATCCATTTGGATTGAGCATGCATTCCGAAAACCCCATAAATCTGGATCTTGCCTACCCAGAGTCATCGGTCTGCACACCAGAAATGGACTTGGAGGGTCTGTCTTCTGCCAGTTTCCATAATGGGATGCTGAAAGAACTGGCTGTCCTAATCACGCCATTTATGGAAGGAGGCTTTAGGTTCAGGAAGCACGTTGCCAGGGCTTCAGGTGAAGAGATTAGTGAGGCAATAAATAGCACCAAAAAATAAAGGGTGACGGATTTTGATTGATGCTAATGACCAAGACAGAACAGAAATAAGCCCTGGGTCACGCAGAGCACTCTGGAGGACACCACACACATTTCAGCAGGGACGGATCTTTACACATCTAGCCACAGTAGTGGCCAGTGTCATGGACTGTTTTTGTTAATGTGCTGTGTGAACCCAGGAAATTTGATTTCGGCATGTTGTGCAAGTATAGAACATGTAGTAATTCAGTATCCACTTACTCAAATTGATGCACAGGCAGGTCAAGGAATGAAGAGACATGGCCCAAAATTAACCCTTGTCAGCCCAACACTCTGTACTATAAACTAGTTTTCCATGCTTAGCCAGGCTTCGTACAAGGTCTGGGCCTCTGGGGAGATCTCTTGGGGTTTACCTTCTCCTAGTTCAAGTACAGTCCGGCACCGTGTCAGGATTCTGCCATGAACTTGTAATGAAGCCTTAGGCAAGCATTAATCTCTGGTCCATCAGAGAACCGCGCTGGCATCCCCTAAAGTTCATGTGAAAGCATCCTCTGAAGGCTCGGGTTGCCTTGTGTGCCTCTGGCAGGGCAGTAGCCCAACTTAGCCAGAGGGAGCGACTGAAGTGCTTGGCTTTGCTTTCTTCCCTTGAACTCAGTCTCTGATGGCGCTCTTAGCTATGCGCTGCTTTTCTTGAAGGGGCTAGCAACTCCAGCAGTGAAGCCATCCCCTCGCTGGCAGCTCCGTCCGTGGAGACCTCCCCTGTAATCCACCTGGTGACGGATGCAAAAGGGAATGTCCTCCATGAGGTCCATGTCCAGATGCAGGAGCTCCCCGTCTCGGAAACCAAGGCATTAGGACAAGAGGTTAGTGCAATCTGTGGGTGGGTGAGAGATGATCTTGTAACACCCAGGAGAAGGGATGCTTCCTACCCTGGTCATTGTGCCAGAAAGCCCATAATAACAACTCGCTGCTTGAGGTTCATCTTGTGAAGGATCTGCAGTGCATTTCAAACTTAAGCCGGCCAAATAAAACTCTCAGAGCTCCAGACATAAGTCAGGAAGGAGAACGACATTTCGACGGGTTCCTGAAGTCAAAACTATGAGAAATGTTGATAGGAAAGAACAGCTTTTGGCAACTTGTGGGATTCTAGGTTCAAGTTTTTTCTTCCCGCTTAGCTGTCAGCTGTCACCTCACGCTTGTGCTTTGCTATCGTTCGGTGCCAATGAATGCCATGAATTCTAGGGGGACTGAATGGGAAGGGGGAGGATGGGAGGGAAACGAAAATTTCACTGCCTCTCCCTGAGACGCTGCTCCACAGTCAACCAGCTGGGAACAGAATGCAGCTGCATGCCAACCCACACTTGGAGCGACTGTTCGAAAAACATCTTCTTTGAATTTGATTGGACATGGTGGGGGGGCAGCACCAGGAGGCACCTAAGGGAGAGAAAGTTAGACTTGGGGATTTTGGCGTGTGAATTTCAGTTCTGGCTTTGCATTACTGTATTTCACTTGACCTCTCGTAAACGATGCCTTTCTCAGCAAATGGAGTCAAGGATGGTTCGTTCTTAGAGGTTCAAGCTGAGGCAGGTTCAAGCATTAGCAGTCATTGTTGCTGCACCCTTATTTCCTTCAGTCGTCCAGTCTTGAGGAACTGTCCCCAGACCGAGAGGACAATGAGAACTTACTGCGAGAAGCCATGAGGAATTCTGGAATTGTGATCGAGCGGGTTTCCATAGAGGAGAGTGCCAAGTCCGATGAAAACGGCATAGCTGGAGCTGCTGAGGACTTAAAGGACAAAGAGGTGGAAACATCTGAGAAATTGTGTGAAGAGCAGTATGTGGAAATTGAGCACCTAGAAGCTGTAAGTTCATCCTTCTTCCTTTAAATGCAGCCTGCTTGGCTTGCTGCCAAGCGTGTCTTTCATGGTCTGTACTGTGTTGGGCTGTGTTGGTAGGGCTGCGTATCAGAACGGGACTCTTGAGTTTGCTTTAACTTTCTCTTGTAATCTCTTGGTCAAATGCGCAAGTAATTTATGCTGGGCTCCCTTTGTTTCATAGCCAGATCCTGAGGCGACCCATGAATGTAAGCGACACGCGTGCCCTTATTGCAGCGAAACCTTCAAGGAGCAGAGCAGTCTCGACCTCCACATCAGTGGACATCTAGGTAAAATGACATCCTGCGAGGCCTCTTCCTCCAGGGTCCTGCAGGCAAAGTCCTTCCCTGGGGTTGTTTTTGTGTGTTAAAGATGCTTTTTAGGCAGTCCAGGCAAGCCTCGACTTACAGCCATTCATTTTGCTGGAAACTGGCATTTACTCCCTGCAAATGGATTTGCCTAACAAAACACTGCAAAAGTCATAAAAGTGGGTGCAGTCACGTGGAGATTTGTTTAATGACTGGCATGACTTATGGCTGTAATTACACACTCAATGGTGGTTGTAAATCAAGGATTTCCTGTATTCTAAATAGGGTCTAACCAATGCAGAATAAAGAGGAATAATGAGTTCTTTTGATTCTGACCCTTCTGTCTTTCTGTTGATTCAGCTAATCATATTTTCTTTGTGGTTATATCACTTTGTAAGTTCGTATTTATCCATCAAGATCCCAGACCTTTCTCCTTTTTGGTGTCTTTGAAGCCCCTGAAGCTTCCTATCAAAATTTTGGGACTTTGTGTTTGTTCCTGTTGAAATTCCTATTTTGGCTTTTGCCCTTTGCGTACTAACTTCTCCAGATGAGTTTTGCTAGCTTCTATTGGTGCAAAAAAACTTACTGCTAGGAGCAGTTTTAAATCTAGTTGCTGCACAGCCAGATACCAGGTTTATGTTTGAGCTAAACATGTAGTTGTCTGCTTGAACTAAGCAGTTTTCTCAAACTTTGAAGCC